GGCCGCCCCTCGCCGCGCCGCCTGGTGAAGCCGCTCCTGTTCGCCGTAGGGGTAAGTGGCTCCTGGGCCGGGTGCTGTGCCTGGCTGAGGAGAGCGAGTCGGTAAGGAGCATATTCCATCGGTGTCAGGGGAATGCTTCCTCCCTGGGCTTCGCTGGCCAGTCCCTCAAAGATAACGCAAGGTTCTTGGCTAAATACTGTAGCGTTATAATCAGCTAATACAATGTAACTTCAGCTAAATCAATGGAAATACCGTAAAGCTATCCCAGTTTCATTCCATTTCGGTGAACTTAGTAATTTCATTGACCCGGTTTGTTTGTGAGCCTTTTTGATAAAGCATCATCTCATGACACTGAACATCAAGTAAACCTGAGGAAATGGCCTGATGATGCACAAGGAGAGGTTTAGATTAGATGTTAGGAAAAAAAAACAGACAACAGAAAGGGTTGCAAAGCGTTGACACAGACTGCTGAGAGCAGTGATGGAGTCCCATCCCTGGGAAGTGTTCAGAAAACACGTGGATGTACTCGAGGACATGGTGAACTCAGTGGTGGTGCTGACATTTGGACTCATGCTCTTCAAGGTGTTTTCCAGCCTTAAGGGCTGTGCCATGCTGTGAGTCCCGTGGTCAGCGGTGCTGCAGGTCCAGCTGCCGTGCTCGGGAATGGCATTGCCTGGGATGCCCCAGCCAGGGCCTGGGGCAGGCACTGAGCCTTGTTTGGTATCCCCAGTTCACTGAGCCTTTTCCCAATATCCCCATTCACTGAGCCATGCCCAGTATCCCCATTCACTGAGCTGTGTCCGGTATCCCCATTCACTGAGCCGTGCCCAGTATCCCCATTCACTGAGCTGTGCCCAGTATCCCTATTCACTGAGCCGTGCCCAGTATCCCCCATTCACTGAGCCGTGCCCAGTATCCCCCATTCACTGAGCCGTGCCCGGTATCCCCATTCACTGAGCCGTGCCCGGTATCCCCCATTCCCTGAGCCGTGCCCGGTATCCCCATTCACTGAGCCGTGCCCGGTATCCCCTATTCACTGAGCCGTGCCCGGTATCCCCATTCCCTGACCCGTGCCCGGTATCCCCAGTTCAGTGNGCCATGCTGTGAGTCCCGTGGTCAGCGGTGCTGCAGGTCCAGCTGCCGTGCTCGGGAATGGCATTGCCTGGGATGCCCCAGCCAGGGCCTGGGGCTTAGCCTTATCCAGTATCCCCAGTTCACTGAGCCTTTTCCCAATATCCCCATTCACTGAGCCATGCCCAGTATCCCCATTCACTGAGCCGTGTCCGGTATCCCCATTCACTGAGCCGTGCCCAGTATCCCCATTCACTGAGCTGTGCCCAGTATCCCCATTCACTGAGCCGTGCCCAGTATCCCCCATTCACTGAGCCGTGCCCGGTATCCCCCATTCACTGAGCCGTGCCCGGTATCCCCCATTCACTGAGCTGTGCCCGGTATCCCCCATTCACTGAGCCATGCCCGGTATGCCCAGGCCGTGCCCGGTATCCCCCATTCACTGAGCCGTGCCCGGTATCCCCCATTCACTGAGCCGTGCCCAGTATCTCCATTCACTGAGCCGTGCCCGGTATCCCCCATTCACTGAGCCGTGCCCGGTATCCCCTATTCACTGAGCCGTGCCCGGTATCCCCATTCCCTGACCCGTGCCCGGTATCCCCAGTTCAGTGAGCCATTCCCTGTATCCCCAGTTCACAGGCTCGGCCTTCGGCTCCGCCGCCATCTGGCAGTATGAGTCGCTCAAGTCGCGCGTCCAGACCTACTTTGAGGAGGCTCGGGCGGACTGGATGGATAAAATGCGGCCGCAGAAGAGAGGAGAATTCAGAAAGCAGGTACACAAAACCGGGCCTGGCTGCTCGCACAGGGGCTGAGCCCTGCGAGGCACAGCTTCAGCTCTCCTCTGCTGTGAGCATGGTTTGTACAACACATCCTTGTCCTGGTTGCTCTGATTTGGAACTTGCAGAAATATTGGCTGCTCAAAAAATTACAGTGGATAAGTTGCTGTGCAAGGAAAACTGATAAAATTAGTTCTAGAAAACTGTAGCTCAATATCACTGTGAAGATTGTAGTGGTAAAATGGAGAAAAATACCATCTTCACCCAGAACTGCAGGAAGGAGAGGTCAGAAGTAGGAATTTGTTAATCTAAACTAGGTACCGTTTGCTTTTTCACCATAAAAAACCTCCTAACAAATGTTCTTGCCTTATCTTAAGTGCTCTCAAAAGTGAACATGAATTCTCAGAGGACAGAACTAGATTAAATTCTCAGTCTTATGCTTAAGGCTTTTCAGTTCTCTGACTTCTGAAATGTATATCTTCACCCTCTACACCCTTAAAAATACAAGGTTTTAGAGGGCTTTTTTACTTTAAGAGTTGACATTTCCACACAAATACTTTTAAGTTTAGGCAGCAAGAACAAAATAAGTGCTGCAAGATTTGTCATACATTTAGTTGGCATCCCAAAAATATCAGTCCTTTAGTTTTTAATTCATGTATGTTTGCATTTGTTTCAAGGTTACTACTGGTTTGTGATAGACCAGGCTTGGTACTCATTCAGGTCTCCTTCCAAGGGAAATAGGGCTGAGCATGGAGCTGGAGAGGTTTGGGATCCTGGGACACACAGGAGCTGATTTTTTAATGTGCATGGTGCACACCAGCACTGCTGTGGAAGTGATGCATAGGTAGTCACTCACAATCTCACGTGGAAAGACCAGTGCCCACCAGTTCATGAGAAAAATATGTTAAAGTTCCTGAAATCCTCTCTTTTGGGGAGATGCCAATTTCCTATTTGGTAGGGAATATCTCTGGTTAGTTCAGATCACCTGGTTGGTTGTGTCCCCTTCCAACTTGTTGCAACCTGCAGCTGCAGAGTGAGAAATGCAAAAGATCTTGAAGTTGTGCAAACACAGTTCACCAGAATGTAGAACATTAATGTGTTCCCAGTACTGTCTTGGTCAAAAATCCAGACCACAGAGCCATGTATAAGCTGCTAGAAAAAAAATTACTTTTATCCCAGCGGGCTTTCTTGCTTGGTGTAAATGAACTGCAGGGGAGATTGTGATCAGCACTTAATATTTTAAAATAATTATGTCTTTACACTTTTGTTTTCCTTCAACATTTGAAGGGGAAGATGTGGTGATTAGCTATCCAAAAAAGAAAACTAAACTGCACTGTTGTTAATAGGCTTAAACTCCCAATCCCCATCTTCAACGGGTAAGTTCTATTTCTAAGAGTTCAGGATTCCTCCGTTGTTTCTGAGGGCATATAATCCTTGTATTTTAGAAAAATCATATCTGTTCTGTGTTCTTATACTGAAGACTATCCTCTGCCAGAGAATTAAACAAAAAAATGCAATGAACTTGTTACTTTGATGTGAAACAGTGAATACTTTCTTTCATACAGCATTACATCCCCTGCCTCCAACCTGCAGATAATTTTTATGACATTGTCCCCATCAATATGGTTGGAAGGTCATTGAGGTAGCAACAAAATATATGTGCAAAATGATTACAAAAGCTGAGGAAGGGCAAGGGGGGTGCAATTTGTCTGTGGGCTGACTGCACTCAAAATAAACTTTTTCAGGGGTTTTAAACTTGGAGGAGGGCTGGGTGAACTGGACGCAAGGGGGAATGGATTCCACATCTTGTGAGCCACCTCTGCAAAAGTGATCCTGGCACAAAAGTGGCATCACTCAAAGGTGGGTGGTGTGATGTTAGACAGCATTAGGGTGAGGCTTAGTCGAGGCAGGATTTATGCTAACTTTGGCTAATCTGCTAAAGTCAGCATTATGGGCTAGATCTTTGTTTAATGCAAGCAGGGTAAACCCACTGGAGTTGTGCAAAAGGATATAATCCAACTCTTTTTGGAGAAACTCTTCATCCATATTGGGTATTTTATGAAAAGGAGGGTAGATAGCTGTTCTTCCGTAAGGAAATGTCAACTTGAAAAGCTAAAGCAATCAGAAGTAAAAAAAATTGAAACCAATTTACTTCACAGATTTCAAACAAATGCTTTCCATTCTTAAAAATGCATAAGCTTTACCTGGCTGTTTCTGAAATTGAAAGTGCTTCATGGTGGCATTGATGGACTGCACTTCTGTTCCAGGTTAACAGCTGGTGGAATAACCTGACTGAGGGTCAGCGGACTGTGACAGGTTTGTGTTAGCTTACAAGTATTAGACATTCACAGGAAGAGAAATATGGCAAACAGGTACAGTATACTAAAACAGATGGCTTTCATACCCTGTTTAGGTTGTTGGGCACAAAGCATGTGGAAATTTACACCTGCACATACACTATTTCTGCTACCACTCCTTCTCACAAACTAATTTTTGTATGCCTTAACAAAGTTCCTGTGCATCTGTGAGAGAGTGTGGAGGATTAAGTAGAATCCTCCCCCAGCAATATTTTGCTCACGAATTATGAAAAACAGCAAATGCTTTTAGAAGAAATAGGTGGATATATTCCAGTGAAACGTGGGAATTAAAAATTCCCTAATAGTTACATATTTGCAATATGACATATGAAAAGTAGCAAAAAATTAGCCTTTGAGCTTTCCTTTGGTTATAATGTAGTTTTGATTGGTTAGCCTAATGCCAAATCCCTGAGATAAAAGTAATGTGTGAAACAAAATTGATGAGAGCTTGATTCAAATCCAATAGCTGAGCCCTATCTCCTGCTATGTATTCTACATTAACCTGCTAATACTGAATCTGTATTAGCAGGTTGTTAGTGTAAGGTTACTTAAATGCCATTTAAGTTGTTTCACCTTTCATATTTCCTGGTATTATAGAACAGTTTACCTAAATGCTTGGACAGAAATAGAGAAGGCACTTTAAACAAGAAATAATACATTTTCATTATGTTTCCAATAATTTACACTCCTTTTCAAAGTAAAGTAAGATAGCAATAACATCTGTGAAGTAAAAAGCTGTATTTGCTGTCTCCCAAAGGTCACAAAGCCAATTCAACTTTGCAGTTTTCTTAAAACCAAAACTCCCCTCCAGAAATGGACAGGATATGTACTGTGTATTTGAATGGTTCCCCCAGTGTTCTCCTCTTGTGCAGTGAAATGCAACTGTGCAGAAGATCAGTGGCATTTGGAAATAAATAGCGAGAGGGGCAGGAAATGGGACCTCTTAGCTGGCTCCTTTTTCATTGATTCTGCAATAGAATGTAGCAGTTTGAAACCATAGCTTGAACCTTCTCAGCACAGATCTTTGTGGACTGCTGGATTCATTACACTGTGTGTTAGAACAGTTGCAATTAAATGTCATATTTCTGAAAGACTTCCTCTATATAAATATAGCTTTCAGTGTTTTTCATTGCTTTTTCTAAACTGTGTACAAAGTAAGAAGTGGATATTGCTTTTTATGGAATTGTGAAGAAAAAGTACAATTCTACAAGCTGTCTTTTTAAATACTTGCTTTCAGTAAGCATTATGGTGTATTACATTGCTAATTTGCATTTATACTTTCTTTTCCCCTCTTGTTAGGTATCATAGCTGCAAATGTCTTTGTGTTCTGTTTGTGGAGACTGCCTGGCATGCGACGGTTTATGTTTACATACTTCACCTCAAATCCATCCTCCAGTAAGTGAACAATAATTCAGGTGCCTTTCCTACACAGAGTTGTGATGATACTGCAGAAGGCTCAGGTGCATTTGGCTTACTTGAAGCTCCATCACCCACAAGCAATCTCAGTCATGCTCAAACACATTACTCCATCCAGGCAGGAAATGGTTTGAGTGGAACAATGTTAGGAGTAATGGATCTGATTTTCTAAAACAAACACAACTGTTGCTGTTCTAAATATTGTAACGTCAGAACTGTTGCCTGCTCTCTGGCCTTTTCCTGCCTGCAGTGGGATGCAGCTCCTGCCTGAATAAAGGTGAGAGGGGCTTTTCCCAGTGACAGCATCCAAACTGCTTCCTTGGACAGAGTGCAAATCAAGGCACTCAGTGAAGGAGGACAATAAGCTGTACTACATAATGCCATTCATAAACTGGACTCAAATGTGATTATTTCCCCCTTTTAATGTTCTGTGGGATGCAGACAGAGCCATCATCAGTCATGTGCATGCATGCTTTCATCAGTAGACAAGGATTAGTCTGTAGGTTGTGTACAGTCCTTGCTTCAAAGCTGTGCTTTCAATCACATTGGGAAAACCCAAACAAACCCAAGCACCAACTTGGCTTTCACTATGTGTGAAATGTGCTGAAGATATTAACCTAGGAAAAAATTTAGTAATATTTAAAAAATGGGGTTTCATTTTTACACCAGAGAAAAGAATTAAAAGGACAAGGAGACAATTATGTTTGGAAGGTACTTCCTGCTACATCTTAATTTCTGCTGAAAAAGTGGAAACTCAGCCAGTTCCCCCACACACTCCAAAGCTAAAGATATCTGCTACCCTGATCTGAGCCTGTCACCCCAAACACTCCTGTTCTAAATAATGTTGACCTTCAAACCTGCTAATTGGCTTGTTTGCATTTTCAAGGCTGCTATTTCAGTGAGGAGAGCTAGTAGCTTTTGCAGAAAGGAAAACTGTTTTTTCTGTGAGGTCATCTATGTGGCAAATTCATTCTATATGGCTGCTCATGTATTAAAAATCCTTCATCATATACATATATAAATGAAATACCTTTTTTCTTTTTCAAAGCATAGGGCATATGTCATAATGTTTTCTATGAAACAGTCCCCAGTTGGTAACTAAGACTATTATTACAACTTTTTAAGTGTTTTTAGAAGTAGAATGTTTTAAAACACTTACCTTGCATATCTTTGGGGTATATGTTCTTGCTTTGCAAAAGGCATTGCTTGGAATTTGAAATTTGTTCCATTGCTGGGTTTACTTCCTAGCTTGTATTTGAGAATCTAGGCACAATTATCTTATAGTGTCTCTTGATACATTTCTAGTCTACATGATGTGTAAGTTGAAGCAAATTAAAATACTGACTTCATATGCATTGCTTCTCTCTTTTGTAGGAGCCCTGTGTTCTCCCATGCTGCTCTCTACGTTTAGTCACTTCTCTCTCTTCCACATGGCAGCAAATATGTATGTTCTGTGGAGCTTTTCCAGCAGCATTGTCTCGCTTCTGGGCTGTGAGCAGTTCATTGCAGTGTACCTTTCTGCTGGTAAGGTTAAATATATATATTTACAACACTTAAAAAATATAAATATGTGTTCAAAAAGTAAAATGTGTGCTTGGTTAATAGATACATGATGACAGATGGCCATTGTTCAGTCCCACACATTGCTTTATACTAAAGGCAGTACTACTTTGCTGTCATACAGATTTTTGGTGGGTTTAAGATACTGGGCTTTGAAATATAAAACTGTATCTGGTTTTAATTCCTGCTTTACTACCAAAATCAAACAGCTGTTAGTACAGTCTCTTGGAATTTTTGTGACAAGAGATGACAGTTAATTTGTACTTTCTGCATTGCTGCCATGATTTTCAGTAGTAATTTCTCTTTTTCAGGGGTTATCTCCACTTTTGTCAGTTACGTCGCTAAAATGGCCACGGGAAGGTTTGAACCATCCCTTGGAGCTGTAAGTACCTTGGAATATGAGAGACTCATCATGATCTTTGCAGCCAGTTTGAAAGCCTGCTCTATCCTTTCACCTCTTTAAAAGCCAAGAGTACATGTGGGGTAATGGACACTAGAAAGGTTTACCAGAGTCAAGTAACCAGGTACAAACTGGTTCTCCTGAACTGGTTCTCCTGTGCAACAGCTTGTCTGTTCTTCAGAAATGTTCCCTCTGCTGCAGCAGCTGCCCAGAACTAACATCCCTTAGTGCTGAGGGTTGGAAATGAGTCCTGAACAGCAGGAGCTCTTGTCCCTGAGCAGATCAGTTATGTAACTTTTTATTGCAAAAATGGTATTTTGTAATTGTGTAGCAGTCTTCTCTAATTAAAAATAGAATACTTTGGAAAGAGATAATGTAATCAGACAATCAAACTCAGCATGTGATCCCAGTGGAAGTTGTAGGGCATGCTGTGCAGGAAGGGCAGCACTCCTGCCAAAAGTCTCACACGATGAACAATATGAGGCAGGCTGAGGAGCTTCTGTAGCTGCCAGCTCTTTCCAAGTGTTTTTAGTAGTAGAACATTTTAAAACACTTACCTTGCATTAAATTTGAGGTTAACCTAGGCATTTGCCAGGTTTTAAAGGCTTAACTTACTAAACTGAATAATATTGATAAAAGCCCAAAGTCAGATTCTCATTATTCTGTTAAAATGAAAAAAACTCTTTAGCTGTGCTGAAGTTAGAACTTTTGGAAATACTGTATGTGTATTGTCCTTTTGTCTTATGAATGAATTATATCAGGAGCAAATTGCTTTCCCTTAGTCTTACTGATCTGAACTTACTGAAATTACCACACAGTGCATTAGTTTGCTGCATTCAGAGCCTTTCCACTGAGATTATTTCAGGGATACAAAACCCCATGGTCAATTTAGTGTACAGTCCAGGGAGTTACTTGTTTCATTGACAGAAGATTTTTGATCCTGTCCATCTATTCTTTTCCTTGGTTTTGTACAAGCTTCAGAATGATTTTGCTTCATCAGATATGTCTATGCTTGATTAATAAATATTAGATTTCTAGGGTTTACTTGAGAAACAGCACATTTCTAGAAATCATTATCTTAAATTTAGGATTGGGTATTTCTTAGTTATGTTAGAGGATTTGAAGGATGTTTTTCTCCAGTATTTATAATTCCAGATATTGAAATTAAATAGTGGTGTGTTGTTTTATTTTTATTTGGAACTTTTCTGTGATGACAGAAGATGGATGTACTTTGAGTTTTGCCACAGGGCTGCATTTGGAAATAAAAGCTAAAAGGAAAACAGATTCACATGTAGAAAAATATATTATCCCTTATGTAACATGTTAGCTTGCTTTGATGTATTTTCCTGTGTTTGCAGTCAGGAGCTATAATGACTGTCCTTGCAGCCGTGTGCACGAAGATGCCAGAAGCAAAACTGGCCATCATCCTCCTCCCAATGTTCACATTTACAGCAGGAAGTGTAAGTGCCTTTGGACTTCAAAGAAATGCTGCTCTCAAAACATTTCCCCTTTCTCCTCAGTATCCTCTTCCTCTGTGTTTCTAAGCTGTTAAATTTACTTTAAAAGAGAAGAGGGCTCATAGAAGTCACAGGGAATTCTGAATTGGTGCAGCCTAGCAGAGGCATTACAGCAGAGTGTGGTGAATTCAGAATTATCTTAAATCCCATCCTCCAGGGGTCTGTTTCAGATCTAATCCCAAGATGTGAAAGAAGCTGGGAGGGAGTCAGGTTCACCTGTCTGAGGAAACCTACAGACACATCCTCTCCTTTCTGATGGGTGATATTTTTATAGCAGCACTTGAAACAGGCTGATGTAAAACTGGCACATAGTCTTTAAAGAAAAATTTATCAAGATGAGAAACACAGAATTTCACTTCTTGAGATGATATTCCAGCCCTGGAGGAACATTTGCCTTCTCATATCATCTTTTGATACTTTCAGGAGCACATTTGGAATTAGAAGTAGGCTCCTAAGACTTGTCTTTGTGTGTAGTACTAGGACTCCTTTTTTTTGTTTCATTAAGTTGTTTTATGCACGCCCACTGCCACATTTAAGAAAAGCTTCTCATGTATATCTCAACTTGCTTTAATAAGTTAATCATGTTTGGTCCACTGCTTAAAGGTGTTTTACTGCTTAAAGCAGTTAAGCCAGGTCATTCCAAGATCATGAGATTTAATACTCTTTGTAAGTGAAGCTTATAGATTTGAACAAACATTCTCAGATGTAGCCTTCATGTTTTTCTTGCAATTCTGCCTGGGTTGACCTGGGGTTTTTTGCATGCTACCCTTTAACTGCATCTTTCTTTAAAAGGTGGCCAGGGTGGAAACACAGGCAGAGCCACAGAGAGCATTGCCATGGGCAAGTGCTCACTGAAAAACAGGAGCAATATCAGCTAATTGCATAGAAGCATTGGAATGATTTTGGCCCAACTATGTAATTGTATAATTGTTTATCTAAACTTTACATAGTCCTTTAATCTACCTTACCTATACTGTGATGAGCTTTCAAATGAAACAAGCCAGTGTAACAATGGAGTTTCTATTCTAACACTCATGCTTAAGGAAAAGTCCTGCCTAAAGTACCATTTCATCCTAGCATTAAATCTGTCAGTCTTTATGAAAGGAGGCATTTAGTAAAGTCTTGTCTGTTGACAGTTCTGGTGCCTTTGCCTCCTGAAGATGGTACAGCAGCAGCTCGTGCTGCTCTGCTGTGGAGTTGTTCACTGCCTTTCTGATTTTCTGCTTTCCAACCAATGTTTCTGTCAGATAAGATAACAGGGCTGCTGCCCCACGTGTTCCATCCACTAGAGAGTTGTGTTCAGGAGCACAGATGCACATAAATCTAAGCTACAGCAGAATTAGAGAATGAGAATGTTGCAATTACATATTTTGTGTCTTTTATAGCACGTGCTCTTTCAAGTAATTTTTGTTTACTCCTGACCCAAGTTTGGAATGTATTTGTAGCTTTAAAAATGAAGATTGGAAGAGACTGAGTGCTCAGAAAGGACACATCCCACCTTGCACTATTCTGTAGCTGCTCACATCTGTATTTTGACAGCACAATACAGTTGGAGACTGAGTCTCTTGTTTTAAAACAACTTTTTTACAGTAATTTCTTTGATATAAAATCTATAGGATGTTTTTGATTCCAAATTTTTGCTCTGTGCTAGAATAGAAAACTGTTTATCATTGGCCATTTTGTGCTGTGACTGATCCTGTCCATTCCATGTTCTCTCATTTCTAGGCTTTAAAAGCCATAATTGCATTTGACACTGCAGGGCTTGTTTTAGGCTGGAGACTTTTTGACCATGCTGCACACCTTGGAGGAGCTCTCTTTGGAATGTAAGTCTGTATTTACTAACTGTTTTGTATTTAATTTAATCCTGTATTTTTCTCTCTTCCTATATTGCTGTAGTGTGGGGTTTTTCTGTAAAGTTGTCTTTAACTAGCAATGAGTACAACTCAGTGTTACCCTTTTAGTGCTGTACATTTTTGTGGAAAACATTGTTAACTGATGAGCTGAAAGAACTGAGCTGAACTGCCACAGAATCATGGATTAAATGTCAGGTGTTCCTGTAACCTGGGCTGGCTGTTTCTGTCCTGCACTTGCCAGCACATTGAAGAGAATCACAGGGCAGAAAAGATTCCCACAAAACACAGAATAGACAAATTAAAATAACTTTAAAGAGCTAAAAAAATGTCTTTGTGTCAGTGTTTTTCCTCTAATTGCAAATTTACCGAGAGCTACAGAGTTAATAAAAGCTGAGGCCAAATTCCTTTGAGCAGCCTCTAGTGCAGTTTTCTCAGTGTTGCTGTATTGCCTTTGTGGGGACAAATTAGTAAATTAGTTCTTCCTAATTAGTAAGAACTACTAGAAACAAGTTTGTAGGAAACAGTTCTGTATTGTTCCATGTTTGAACTACATTGAATTTTTCCCCTTCTATCCATTTGCAGACCTGTTGCTAGGTGCATTTTGAATATTTTATGTAGGCATTTGAAAAGCCTACCTGAGATTTCACTAGGCCACATTTAAAGGCAAACCAGCTTGTAGACCAAATAGTTCCCTGTTTCTTGGCTTTGGTGTCAGTGAGCTCTGTGCTGTACAGCCTCCTTTTCTCCCTGTCTCTGCTATCACAAATGCATGATGTAGTCTTGCTGATTCAGAACTGCTTTCTGCCCTGATGGATCTGAATCAGCTTGTTCATTGTGAGGAGGAACAGTCTGCATTGGTGAGGCAGATTCACATGTTAAAAGAGGATAGCAGTTGCAGTAGAAATGGTCTGGAGCTGGCAAGTGTCTTGCTTTCCTCACCTACATATTTATACCTGTTTGTTCTACTCAGTGATGAGTTTGATCACTTTATGCTAAAAAAGAAAGGGCCTTGTGTAGGACCTATGTTGAATGGCCAAAGTATTTTCTGTACATTGCCTCCCACTTTAGAAAGCAGCTGTCTGATTTAAAGGGGTGGCCAGTTCACTGGCTGCTGGCTCACAGAAAAGGGCTTTTGTTCCTCAGGATTCAGGTGTGGAGTTGGGCTTGGCAGAGAACCTTCAGCCTATTTCCATGTGGTTGCTTCCCCTCATGCCTCTCCTCTATAACCTCCATTGCTAATCACTTATATTGATATTCATGTATTAGCATGTATAATTGTCTGGGAATATAAACAAAGCTAGAACACTTTGATAGATTCATCTTTAGGTGCAAATAGAAGAGAATTCATTTTGAATGGAACATGGTTATTCTCTATGGGGCAGTTGTATTTATATAGGAGAAGAAAGAACACTTTTCCTTGGTGTTGTCAGTGAGGATCAGCACAAGCAACACAACTGTTTTAACAGTCTTTTATATGGAGATTTTTTTTATGCCTTTCTAAGTGGAAATCACAACAGCTTGAAATTAAAGGCAGGAAAACTGTTCATTCTCAGGACTGAGACAAACAAGAACAACAAAGTTAACTGTTTGCAGTCAAGAGAATGAGTGGCTTACCTGCTGTTCTGCAAGCACGTTGTTCTTTGTGCCTTAGTTTATTTTGTCTCTTACACTGAGTATTTCCAGGGTTTCAGGCTCAGCCTGTTTTCCCTCAGATGCAGAGGGAAGTCACAGTTAACTTTAACCATGGCTTTCTTTCCCAGGTGGTATGTGACTTATGGCCACGAGCTCATCTGGAAGAACAGAGAACCCCTGGTGAAAGCTTGGCATGAAATGAGGACAAAGAACACAGGAAAGGGAGGAGGTGGAAGATCTAACTGATTCCAATCCTAGAGTTTCCTCGTGCCCAAGTGGTATCTTACTTGAAGACATGGGATTGAATTGGTTTGGAAGGTGTTTTTGCTACTCCATATTAAGCCTCTAAGGAGCTGAAGTTTCTGATGTAACAAAATTATGTTACAAAAATTCATACCCATAGAAAATGAACTCTTTCAAAGGTGGAACAATAAAGGTTTTTATCCTATTGCTTTCTGAAGTAACAGTCTGCATTACCTTTTTAAAGGTGGAATAAAACATGTTTTTCAATTAAGTGACCTAAATCTCTGTTAAAGAAAAAATGAAAATGGGATGCAACTAGTTAATATTAGCAAGATAAACATTTTCAGAACTGAAGAATTTAATGGATCACTGACCCCTAATGTCTTCCAGACAATACAAGGTGCTTTCCTAGAAGGGAAAGTAGGACTCAAATAAGGCTAATTTGGTGAAGTTCAGTAGTTTTTGTTGTTGAAAATATTGGATGAAGTGAGGCAGTGGTCTTGTTTGATTTGAAAGTTGAAATACATGTAGCAAGAGTGGATTGCTTGCCAAGGCTTATGTAACTGGTTTGATGGTCCAGCTTTGTCACCTGTGGTTTATTCAACTTGTGGTTTTCTTTTCTGTTGAGTTCCAGCAAGCTTTTAGATCTTATTAGATTTTACTACAATGATATATCCTTTTCATAATGACATGCAAGGGAAGAATGACATCCTGTGGTTTTTGATATTCTACCATGAGTTACACTCCTTTCTGTATTCTTTCACTACTTTGATTTGGGGGTGGGGTAGAGGGATATTCTTTAAGCTGTGCTGTATTGCTAGTTTTCTTTAAGGTTTTTCTAAGAACTTTAAACCTGTACCATATGGTTCAGAATCTGCCAGTTTTAGAAAATAAGCAGCTTCAGCAAAAATAGATGAGGTGCCTGAAATCAGCAATGCTGTAAACAGAAGTAACTGCTAAAGTAAACCTGAGGGTAGTACCATGACCAGTGTTCCTATTTACAAGTAAAACTGGATTTGGGGTGTGCTGCTGCTCTGTGCCTGTCGTGCAGGGCTGATCCTGAACCCATTGCCAAAGGCTGAGGAATCTGCCCAGACACAAGCTGGTGGCTTCAAGCCCTTAACTCTTTCCTGTCAGCTCTTAGTCCTTCCACAAGGACTGACCTGCCAAAGAACATGTTGCATTTGTAAGAAGCAACTTAGGTGTTTTTACTTTATAGCAGTGCCTCACATAAAATACATTTCTGTGGGGAAAGGGAATACATAATGCTAAGTGGCACCAGCTTTAATAAATGATGGAGTACAAAATTGGTGTAAACTCCCTGTCCCAGGCCAGTGCTTGTTTAATTTTTTCTCTTCATTAGAAAAATGAGGCACTTGAGGCTGTGTAACTCCATGTGCCTGGTGACGTAAACACTTGAAAATGAAGGAGCTGGAGTAGCCAATATTCCTCTGCTCTGCTCCTGGAGTTATCTGGCTTTCAGTCTCCAGTCTGTCACTTACTCCCCTTCCCTGCTCTGTGCTGGGGTATTCTGGCCAAGCATGGCTGTTGCCAGAGCTTCAGGCACCGTGCAGCCCTGCGTGCAGCAGAGAGAGGGCAGCGGAACACGCGGCACAGCCCAGCACAGGCACGGAGAATCCAGCAGCAGCAGCTGGTGGCCTCTGAGCAGGCTTGTCCTAAGGGAGCATTTCATGCCAGAGAAGCTCAAAAGCCAAACCTCAGACCACTGCTGGCTTTGCAGCTATTGTGTTTGTCCACTCCTATTTTCTCCCTGTTTCTCTTCCTTGTGTTATCTCTTGTCCACTCAACAACTTACCCAGTCTCTTCAACAACGATTATTTGCTGAGAGTTTTTCAGAGATCCTGGCTGAAAGCAGCAGGCAGTAATGCTGCAGGAAATAGAGTGTATTAAACCTGAAGAACATTATATTTTGCAGGCCTAGTAGGATAAGCCAAAGTTGCAATTAAGTTCTTCAACACAGCACCAATACCTCCTGACCCTGTATCACCTGCAGAGAGGGAAGTCCCGCTTGTGCTGTGTTAGACCTCCCTGCAGCGTGTTGCTGCACTCTTTCAGCTTGCAGGAAGGGACTCAAAGCACCTGAAAAACATCCTGCAACTGGCACAGAGGTTGGAAGTCACCACCTTTCCAGCCAGTGGCTGTGGTTTGAGGGTCTATGCCTAAGCTTCACCTTAACTTTAGGCATAAGAGCATTTGCCCTTCTAAAGGCTGTTCAATTTTCCTCATTTACAGAGACCCTAGAGGTGTGTGCCATATGTAAGGTTGTACAAAAATCTTCACCAAGCACTGGGTTTCATGTCATTTTGCACCTGAGCCTTTCTGCAGCATTTTCTGGGAAAGACAAACTATCTTTTCTGCCCAAATTTACTCCAATAGGAAAACCAATTCTCAAGTCACCGAGACAAGGAATGCCCTGAAATTACAACAGCTCACTGGAGTACATAAGAGACCTTTCTGACAAGCAAATACGCACTTCTTGCAAAATGTGGCATCAGCACATGTCAGTGTCTCAGCATTTAGTCACACCTTTGGCTGGAAAATTAATTAGAAGAATGATAGAAAAAGCCTAAAATCCAACCCTAGAAAAAAAACAACAAAAAGAACCAATTACCTAAAACAAAACCAACCACATGGAAAGACTTTCCCCTCCCTTTTCAAAGAGATTATTGTGAATAAAAATACAATGTGGTGATTATGTGGACACTTGGCAGAGACAACAGCTAGTGTTTGTGTAGGAAAACAGCAATAAGTATAAAGTCGTGGTTAATCATGTAGAGACACAATTCTTCATCCTTTTTCTGTGGCTTTAAAGTCTGCTTTGGCCTTGCCATTTTTAAGGAATAATTTGTTTTAGTGATCTGCTCTATTGGAATTTCATTTTAGTGTTAAAACTGTTTGAGCTTTCAGCCCCCATTCCTGGCAGCAAGCTGTTTTGCTTTCTGATTTGATGGCTTTTGTCTTAGTGTTGCAGTATTCCACCCCTCCTCCTCCCAAGCTTTTAATCATGACAAATCTTCTAAATGCAGACAACTTTTTAATCTCATCCAGCATCTTCTGGTTTTCCTGTCTGAGTTAGCCTTTGTGCCAATTTCATCCTACAAGCTGTGATGAGCAGCTGCTGCAAGCACTGCCTGATGCTGTAGGTGGGCTCAGAGACATGCAGTGCCAGAGCTGCACTCAGTGCTAGGAAGTGTCAGGCACAGGATGAGCAGAGACATCCGATTTATTCAATGGATTTTGCTAAGTCAGGCCTAGGAACAAGGATCAGAGCATCATTTGTACTGTGCCACTGATAACATGATAAAGCACATGTTCTGTTTTCTCCCATGGCTGGAAAGTCTGTTTCTCTTTTCCAGATACGATGTATTTTTTAAAATTACAACATAGAATAGAGCAGTTCCAGAAAACCAAGAGCAGGAGAAAATTCATAAATGTCTCCCTGGATATTCCTAAAAGTAGAATTACATTTGTGGAGTTTTCAAACAGCAAATGAAACACAGCATCCAACAGCCTATATAGTATTGGATAAGAGTTCTGTGTTGGGATCAAAATGTTTTTACCTGACATTCCTGAGTCACCCTGTCCCAGCTGACATGAGGAGGGGGGATGGTGAAATCAAAACTGGGAGCAGCAGGGGCAAGTGCTAAATCAGATATTTAGGCAACAGGATCATGTGCAAAGAAATTTCCTTTTGTGCCATGATTGTGTTTCAGAGAGAGGCCAAACACTCAAGGAGAGGTTCTGCCCCAGTCCATATGCACATTCCCAGTCCTCCTTCACCCCAGGGGCAGGTGTAAATCTGGACTGAAGTGAGGTGCTAATACACTAGAATAGAAACTGCTTAGCTGAAGCAAAGCAATAAATTTTACCTTCTCAGCTTCCATTGCATTATTAATTTCTTAATAACGCTTCACAGAATGGTGTGGGTTGGGTTGGAAGGGACCTTAGAGATCACCTCATTCTACCCCACTCCCAGGGGCAGGGACACCTTCCCCTATCCCAGGTTGCTCCAAGCCCATCCAACCTGGCCTTGGACACTTCCAGGGATGGAGAATCCACAGCTTCTCTGGGCAACCTGTTCCTCAGCACCTCCATTAGGAAAAATTTCACTAATAAATCTAAACCTGCCCTCCCTCAATGTAAAGCTATTACCCCTTGCTTATCAGATAACCACCTGTAATTGGATTATTATTTTCTGAAATGAAATGCCTGTCCTGTTAGCCTTTTAATAGATTTTCCAATAGGTGGCATATCAATTTATCTGCATTCTTCACTTTTACAGCATTGCATTTCACAGTTTGGTGATCCTTTGGGAGATTCAGCTTTGGTAATAACCCACTGAATGGGGAATTGTGGAGGAGCATTATGTAATAAGTGGCTACTGGCCATAAAATGTCAAATTTCAAAAGCCTGACTTTATTCCTGATGTAATTCTGTCAGCTTCAATGGTTTGTGCCAGGGCTGTTTGGTTTGAACCTGAATGTGTAAAAGGAAAGCTGTAATTTGCAGTCTCCAGCGAACAGTAAAGGATGTAGGTTCTATATTGAGGTATATAATAGATGCTTGGATTGTGGTCAATAGTTAGTATTTTCATAGTGAATTGGTTTAATGTAAATGGAGAGGGATTATGAGAGGTGAGGATTTGCACGAAGCTCTTGGAAACCAGCATGGCAATGCTGCCGTTTCTCACGGAGATCACTTCTAAAATAAGCGCCAGGTTTGGCATACAAACGCTTACGGCTCCTCGAAGGTAGAGCTAAGCAGTACCCCCGGCTAGCGCGGAGCAGCGTTCCTGGCCGGGGCCGTCCCTGGACGCGCTACGGCGCTCCCGGGCACCCAAAGAGAGGCTCGCAAAGAACAGACAGACGCCGGGCCCGAAGCAGCACGGGCAGAGCCGGTGCCCCCCGAGGCAGCCGGGCACGCAGCCCGGCGGGGTCCGGTGCCGGCCACGCTCCCCACGCCCGCACCGCCGCCAGCCCCCGCAGCTGCACGGGGCTCCCGCCGGCAGCCGGGTCACGTGTGCGGGCCGTAATCCCGGCGAGGGGGTGTCGTTACCGGGGAAGGGGGCGGCGGGAGGAGGGGCTGCCGCCGATGAGGGCTGAAGCCGGGAGCGCGGCCGGCTGCGGGCGCCGGAGCCGCGGGCGCCGCTGCGGGCGAGGCGGGGGCTGCGGCCGCGGCCATGGCCTGGCCCTGCAT